TGCTCGATTACCACCCCTTCTTCGTTCTCCAGGAGGATCCCTGCGCCGCTTCCGGACGAGCTCGAGGCTCCGTCGACGAAGATGGTCCACTTGTGTTCCTTTCCCGGGGGAATGTCGTTAGTGGTCATCTCAGCGACGAAGTCGGCCAAGGCTTGTGCTTTCAGGGCTTTCCTGCTCTCGTACTGAATGTCGAATTCAGAGAGTTCCAGGGACCACTTAAGCATTCTGCCCGCCATATCTGGCCGACCCAGGAGTTGTCTCACCGGTTGATCGGTTCGTACGATGATGGTGTGTGCTAGAAAGTAGTGTCTGAGCCTCCTCGCTGCGTTGACGAGGGCCAGTGCAACCTTTTCTATTTGTTGATACCTGCTCTCGGGGCCTTGTAAGGCTTTGCTCGTGAAGTAGACAGGTTTCTGCCCGTCGGGAGTCTCGCGGACAAGAGCTGCACTGATGGCTTCGTTTGAAACTGCCAAGTATAGGTAAAGTGGCTCGTTGTCATCTGGTCGAGACAACACGGGTGGTTGAGACAGGCTCTGCTTCAGATGGCGAAGTGCGTGTTCGCATTCCTCGGTCCATTCGAAGGCTGCTTCCTTTCGAAGGAGTTTGAAAAATGGAAGGGCGTGCTGAGCGGACTTCGCGACGAAGCGCGAAAGTGATGTCAACATGCCGTTCATTATCTGTATCGACTTCTTCGACGTTGGAGTCGGGAGGTCGGCGAATGCTTGGCACTTGTCGGGGTTGGCTTCAATGCCTCGTTCTGTTAGGTAGAATCCGAGGAACTTTCCTGCCTTAACCCCAAATGTGCACTTCTCCGGGTTGAACCTCATTTTGCATTGTCTTGCTTGGGCGAAGACAGTCTTGAGGTGAGCTGCGTGATCGGTGTCTGCTCGAGATTTGACGATCATGTCGTCCATATACACCTCGAGCATGTCGCCGATCTGTTTGTTGAACACTTTGTTCATCATGCGTTGGTATGTCGCGCCGGAGTTCTTTAGTCCGAAGGGCATTACGTTGTAGTAATAGTTGCCCGAGCTGGTCATGAACGCCGTGCAGCGTTTGTCGCCCGGAGCCATTGGGATTTGATTGTATCCCGAGTAAGCGTCCATGAACGACAAAGTTTTGTAGCCGGCCGAGTTGTCGACCAGCATATCAATGTTTGGTAGAGGAAAAGCATCCTTCGGGCAAGCCCGATTGAGATCGGTATAATCAACACACATGCGCCATTTTCCATTACTCTTTTTAACAAGTACAACATTTGACAGCCAGGTGGAGTACCGGGCTTCGGAAATAAAATTTGCCTCTAGGAGGTCTTTTACAGCTTTTTCAGCAGCCTCCGTTTTTTCTGGAGACTGCCTACGCCTACGTTGTACTACTGCCTTGGCGGCTGGATCAATGGCGAGGTGATGACAGGCGACCTCAGGGTCGAGTCCGGGCATCTCTGCAGCGCTCCAGGCGAAGAGATCAGCATTCTCGCGCAGACAGGCCTTGATTTGCTTCCTGGCCAAGTCGGGGAGGTCCTTGCCAATCTTCACTCCCTTGGTCGGGTCTGCTCCGAGGGGGACGAGTTCGAAATCGCCGTCCGGAATGGGTCGGAGGGGGATTTGCTCGCTGCTGGCCGGCTCGTCTTGGTCAAAACGGGCGTCGAGCGCAATGGAGTCGACCTTTGGTGGAGCCTTCTGAACTTCTACCTCAGGAGATGCTCTGTCGGGCTCTTGCTTTGTCTTCTTGATGGGCCTAGTGCTGGGACCCACGTCGACAGTATCCCGACCCCTTGAAGCGGCGTTGAAGCACCTGCGGGCAGCAGCGAGGTCGCCCTGGATGGTGGCTACCCTTGCCCGTTTGGTGTAGAACTTCATTTTGAGGTGGACAGTTGAGGGAACCGCTGTCAGCTCTGCTAATGTCGGCCTCCCCAAGATGCAATTGTACAGGGACGGGCAGTCAATGACGAGGAAGCGGACCTTCACCTGTCTTGTGGCAGTTCCTTCCCCGAACGTCACTAGGAGCTCGACATATCCCCAAGGTTTGGACGTCGAGCCGTTGAAGCCTTGGAGGTCCGAACCTATATATGGAGACAGATGTGAGTCGTCCAGTTGTAAGGTCCGGAACAACTGAGTGTACATCACGTCGACGGAACTCCCTTCGTCGACCAGGATGCGATGCACGTCAAAATTGGCCATCTTTGCCCTTATCAGCAAGGGGATGACTGCGTTCGGTGCTCCGCCGGGGAGCTCTTCCAAGTAGAAGGTGATAGGCTCTGATCTGCCCCTCACCATTTCAAAAGTCACAGTTTGAGGAGGAGCTTTGTCGACCAGTTCGTCCAACTTCCTCTTGGCTGAGTTGATGGTGAGGTCGTTGAACCCGCCCCCGTTGATGACCATGGCGGAGGGGAAGTATTCCCACCTGCTGTGTGTCGTCAGGGGCTCCTGCAGGAGCTCGGGAAGTTCGAAATCCTCGGGCCTGGTTACCGAGAAGGCGGTCTGGATTGGCACCGACTCGTCAGATGGTCGGGCATCTTCTTCGGGCTCCTTTGCCTCGCGGGCTTCACGACGGGGAGCGTCGTTTCGCCTGTACTGTGCAAGTCTCCCTCCTTTGATGAGGGTTTCAATAGCATCCTTCAGGTGGACGTAGTCCTCTGTCAAGTGACCATGACTCCTATGGTACTGACAGTACTTGTTTTTGTCTACTCCTGGCTTGGCAGGAGCTGGTCGGGGACGCTTGACGCCACCGTCTTTAAAATCTGTGCTTGCACACTCCGCCAGAATACGCTCGCGGGAAGCCGTGAGCGGAGTGTACTCAGTAAACCTGCCCGAGGGGCCCCTTTGTTCGCGGACCTCCCGGGGTCTGTCTTCCTTCCTCTTCTCTCCGGTGCGTCGGGGAGGAGGGTCTTGTCTCGAGCTGCTGCCATGATTGCGAGCCCTGGAGTCTCGTGCCCTGTTGGCAGCTTCTCTCTCCTCGTAGTCCATGTACGCTCGGGCTTTGTCGAGGAGAGCATCGAAAGTTGCAGGTGGCTCAATGCCCACAGCTTTCCTGAATTCTGTGCCGGGGAGGAGGCCCCTCTCCAGCAAGTACCTCTTCATGTGGTCCGCGCAGGGGACCTGGATTGCTTCCCGGTTGAAGCGGTTGATGAATTCCCTCAAGGTCTCATCATGTCTTTGGATGATGGCCTCGAGGGCTGCCTCGGTCTTCGGGTGGCGACGAGATGCCGTGAAGGAACTGATGAACTGGTTCTTCAAGTTCCGCCACGAGGTGATGGAGCCCGGGGCAAGTCCTTTGTACCAATCCATGGCCGCCTTCCTGAGAGTTGTTGGGAAGAGACGGCACTTGATTGGCCCCCCGACATTGTGATAATGGAGCATGGCTTCGAACCCGTCAATATGGTCGACTGGGTCCGCCACTCCATCATACTCCTTTAGGTGTGGAGGCTTCTCCATGCCCGGGGGGATGGGTGCGTCCATGATGGCCTGCGACAGGGGACCGCGGGGGTCGTCCTCATCGCTCCTTTCTGGAGAAAGAGAAGGGGTCCTGTAGTGATGTCTGGCACGCTGGTCGTGCTGAGATTCCCTCGAGCGTGATGCTCGGTGGGTGAAGGTCACACGCCCGTCTCTGTTGTGCCTCCTGTCGTGCCTTGATGGGTCGCGACTGGGCTCTTCGGCAGGGATGACGGGCTGTCTTTCATACTGGGGCCGCCTCTGCCTTGGTGGGGGAGAGGGGCTCCTAGAGTTCTCCCTGTAATGTCTCCGCGGGGGAGTAGGGTGTCGAACTTCTTCGACCCGAGGAGGTGGAGATGGTGGCCTTTGATGTCTCCTCGGGGGGCGTCGATCATTTTCAAGTGCCCTTAGCCTTTCTCCTTGGGCGAACAGGAGATAGTTCGTCTGGTTGATGGCCGCGAACAGTGCCTGAGTCGTGGCATCTGCCCCGGGAGGGACTTGGACTTCATGGAACCGGGCAGCTTGGCGATAGGCGAGAGCCTCCGGGTCGTCTTCGAGTCTTGGAGGAGGTGTCAAGGACGACGCAGTGTTCCCGTCCCTGCGAGTGGAAGGTCCAGGGGCGGTTGTCACGGGGATGGTATTGTGGCCGGCATCAGTGGGATTGTCCAGATGCCCATTCTTGTCCGCGAGACCGTTGTTGGTGTCGAGGACGCGGGTGTGTTCTTCACGAGTTGGGGTAGCCATGACAGTGAATGGATTGAGCTTTGGTCTTTGAAACTGTTCGTTAGACGGGGAAGCTGTTTCCCACAGACGGCGCCACTGATCTGACCTGATCAGAAGGTTCGGACCGTCACGGCTTACTCCGAGCTGAAGGCTTTTTGAACGAGGAGGGGGGGGTACCTGCAAGGCACTCCGATGCTAAAGTCAGTGGGAGTACTAGCAGATAATAGAGTTGAGGTTAGAATGATGAATACCTGACCCTCTGGAAGCAGAGGGTATTTATAGCCCCCAGCGCTGGGCCAAGGTTCCTTCATTGGGCCGGGCGGATTTGGCCCAATGGAGGAACTGCCAGGTTCTACGTGGGTAGTGGGACCAGCACGTGGTCCCCTTCCTGGATATGCTGCATGAAGTGCGGGCGGACGGAGACGCGGTCTTTCCGGAGTATCGTTGGGGCAATGGAGGACTAAGTCTGCCCTAGCAAGTCAGCTCGAGACCATGTCGAGCTACGCGACACGGTGCCGAGCTCGACGCCAAGACCTCGAGCTGGACAGCGAGGGTCGAGCTGGAAGCCAGGACGTGGAGCTGGACGGCAGGCTGTCGAGCATGACTTCATCGTGGGGCTGGACACCGAGATGTCGAGGTGGACATCTAGATGTCGAGCATGGACGTGACCCCCTTTGCCCAGTGTGGTCATTAGTGAGTCCCTTTGGACTGGGCCTTAGTAATGCTTTTGGGCCTGTCGGGCCCAGTCCAGAACAATTAGTAATAATAAATAACTAAAAAATCAATTAAGGAAAAGAAAAAAAAGAAGCAAAATGATGCGTTTAGGAAGGAGATGGGGTTCAAGAGTGACTATTCAGATTCTTCGTGAAACACAATTTCTTCGCCTCTTCTCTTTCGCGACTCAACGGCGCCCAACTCGAGCTTCCTCTTTATTTCCCTGACGATTTTGCCGCTGGAAATCAACACAACACCGCCCTGTCATCTTCGCTGCCGTTTCTTCTTCATACTTCGTCTCTATCTCAGTTCAACCATCACTAACATGTTCAACCTTCGTCCGATTCCAATTCTCTTTGCTTCGATCTCGCCACAGTATTAAGGAAAAAATGCACAAAGTGACGAGAAATGGAAGGAATCAACTTACCTACCGGAAGCAAACTCTGGTGGTCCTTCAATCAATGACATCACCGTCAACGACGAAATGGCCAGAGGATGCTTCTTCAAGAACTCAGGTTTGTTCTCGTGCTCGTCCTCTCCATCTTCTACTTCGCTTTCTGATTTGTGCGTATTTGTCTGCGCGTTGTTACTCAGTGCGATTATTTTGAATCCTTGTGTGAAGTTGTTACGGATCGTTGATGCGATGAATTCGTTGTTGTTGTGATGTTGCAGAAGCATATCGAAGTTTGTTGAAGAAAAATGCAGTAGTTTGAAGAAGATTGATGATGATACGATGAATGTATGAAGATCATGATTAGAGTGAAGCAGGAGATTGGCGAGAGTTTCAGAGGGAGAGAGTATTTTTGTGGAGATTTCTTGGTGGTCATGGAGAAGGAGGAAGAGAGAAGATGGTGGAGAAGAAGTGGTGCGATCAGAGGATTTGGAGGTGGTTGAGAAAGGTGAAGATGGAGTTTAGAGAGAGAGGAAACTGATTCTTGAAGGTGAAGCTCTAAGGATTTTCGTGAATGATTTATCAGGGGTCGAAGAATCCGAATGAATCAGGTATGAAACTATTTATATAATCTTCTAGATCTGTGAAAGTTTCTTAGATATATAGAAAGTTGGTTGGGAATGAATCGGTTATGATTTAGTTGTTAGATGAAAGTTGGAACTGGTTAGTTAGTTAAGAGTTAGTTAGGGCGGTTATGAGAAGTTTCTCTATTAACTGTGTTTTGATTTAGTTAGCATCAGGTTCGAGTTTTATGATAAAATGCTAAGTTGAGCTTGAATTGAGTTATAGTTAATTGAGACTGTTAGTAATGAGTTAGTTTGGTGAGTTGATGGGGAATCAAAATTTTTCTTTCTAATATTACAGTCAGAGTTGTTAATCCCGGATAGCGGAGCGGAGCGGCCGACCCCCGGGAATGGGAAAAACGGGAATAGCAGAATTCCGGATAGCGGGACAACTTTTTGTATATTAATAATTATATAATAATCTATAAAACATATGTTATAAAACATATGTCATACAATACTAAATTAATTCCACAACACTCATAAAATACTTATAAAATCTAATGTCAAACAAAGAACAATGCTTAATCAAGACTCAAAACCAGAGTTGTCAAAAGCGGCCGTAGCGGCCGCTATAGCAGCGCTCTGTAGCAGAGCGGTGGCCTCCCGCGCGCTAACATAGGGGCGGTAGCGGAGATGGGATAGCGGCTGCTTTTCATGACATAGCGGATCGCCCGTCGCGGGTTTTTCCCGGGCGGAGCGGGTCTGCAGTTTTTCTTTTTTTTTTTTTAATTTTTTTTAACAAAATTACTGTTTTACCCTTATTATTTTATAAAATAATATGTAAAATAGTTTGTTATAACTCACGTTTCTTTCTTTCTGCCGTTCGTTTCTTTTTCTTCTCCTTGCCCTACCGTTTCGCTTCTCCTTTCTCCTTGCCCTACCGTTCCTCTCTCTGACGTCTCCTACTGTTTCCAGCATTTCTCTGCCGTCTCTTCTCCTTTCTCCTTGCCTGTTTCCAGCTTTTCTCTTTGCTGTTTCTCGTCGCCGTCTCTCTTCACCGTTTCCACCATTTCCGTTTCACCTTTCCAGCAAGCGCTCTTCTTCTTCTACTTAGCCAATCAGCAAGGTACAACTCTGATTCAGCAAGGTACACTTCTTCTATTTACATGTGATACACTTTCCAGTTTCACCGTTTCTAGTTTTTTTTTCTAAGCCAGCAAGGTACAATTGGAAAGGGGGTAGAGTTAATATACTCCAACCCCACTGTGCTGACTCAGCACAGCAATGACACATGCCCTTTCTATACTTATGCCATGTGTAAATGTACCCTTTCTATACTTATGCCATAATCCATATACTCTAATACTTCTTCACCTTTCCAGCAAGCCAGCAAGCCAGCAACGTATTGTTTCTACTTTTTTTCTATCTATTCTAGTCCTTACTTTTTTTTGTTTCTGTTCTAGAAAAATATGGCAGCTTCTTCGTCGACACCGTCAGTAGCTTCATGTGCTCCAACATTCAAACCAACCAATAGTAATGACATAGGATGGAAATACAATCATTTGAAGAATTTGAATGATAGGAAGAAGGTGACATGTGATTTTTGCAATTTAACCAGCAGTGGGGGAATAAGTAGAGCCAAAAGGCATCAATTAAGAATTACCGGTGATGTAATTTCTTGCACGAAAACACCCGACGATGTTAAGGCTATATTACGTGCTGACATGGTTGATAAAGAGAGAATTAAGAAAGGAATACAAGAGATTTCAGTGCAATTGGATGCGGATGATACAATTGATATTGAGGAAATACGTAGAATTCGAACCGGAAAGAGGATTGCAGAGAGTGAGAGCTCTTCAATTGCTTTCAAGAAGACTAAAGGACCGTTGGATTTGGTGTATAAGAAGAGTAAGGACACAAGCATCAACGATGCGTGTGATAAAGAAGCAAGGGCAAGAACCATTCAATATATTGGTCGCTTTTTTTATACGTGTGGGGTTGCTTTTAACGTAGCACATGCAAGAGATTTTAAGTTGATGTTGGAAGCCGTTGGAAGTTATGGTCCTCATTTGAAACCGCCAAGTTATCATGAACTCAGGGTTCCAATCCTTCAGAAAGAATTGGAATATACAAAAGATTTGTTGAAAAACCAAGAGGTGCAAAGGAATAGATATGGATGTTCAATTATGTCGGATGGTTGGACAGATAGAAAAGGTAGAACATTGATTAATTTCTTGGACAATTGTCCGGCGGGGACCATGTTTGTGAGAAGTGTTGATGCATCAGACAATGCCAAGACGGGGGAAAAGCTAGCCGAATTGTTGGACACTTTTATTTAGGAAATGGGTGAAAAAATGTTGTTCAATTGATTACCAATAATGGAAGTAATTATGTAGCGGCGGGTAAAATATTGTGTTTGAAGAGGCCTCACATGTTTTGGACTCCATGTGCTGCCCATTGTATAGACCTTATGTTAGAAGACATAGGCAAAATTCCAAAGGTTAAAAAGGTTATACAAAAATGGGTTAAGGTTGTGGGCTACATTTATAACCATACTTTTGCTTTAAATCTAATGAGAAAGACTACCGGCAATGTTGAATTGGTTAGACAAGGAGTGACAAGGTTTGCTACCCATTTCCTTTGTCTACAAAGGATGCAAGAACTAAAAGGAAAGCTTAGAGAGATGTTTCTTTGTGAAGAATGGACGACTTCCAAGTGTGCCAAAGATGCCAAAGGACAAAGGGCAGCCACTACTATACTTACGGCTTCATTTTGGAATGATGTTCTCTACACTCTTAAGTGCATGGAGCCTCTTGTAGATGTGCTAAGAATGGTTGATAATGAAAAGAAACCCATAATGGGATACATATATGGCGCAATGGAAGTAGCGAAAGAATCAATTGAGAAAGCTTTTAGTTCAAATTCAAGCAAGTACAAAGCTGTATTTGAAATCATTGATAAAAGATGGGTGTGTCAACTTCATCATCCGCTAAATTTTGCAGGTCACTATCTCAATCCAGAATATTATTATTCTAAACCAGAAATTGAGAAAAATGGTAGATTGGTGAGAGGCCTCTGTAAGTGCATTGAGACACTTAGTGAAAGTTATGAAGTGGAATATTTGATTTCAGAACAATTGTCACAATACAGGGGTGCTACGGGTCTCTTTGGTATAAAAGCGGCAATTAGACAAAGGTCGACATTAGCTCCAGGTAAGATGAAATAATTTTTTGCTAAATTACATGTGATACACTTTGTGTTATGTATATGGAATGAGTTTTTACAATTACTTGCAGCCAAGTGGTGGAAGTCTTATGGAGCCGAAACTCTGGAGTTGCAATTGTTGGCTGTTAAAGTGTTGAGTTTGAGTTGCAGTGCTTCCGGATGTGAGCGTAATTGGAGCATCTTTGAGCATGTGAGTATTAATTTTTTACTAGGATTTTAAAGTATCTTACATGCAAGTATTATTAAATTAATACTTCAAATTATTGTATTTTAGATTCATTCTAAGAAGAGAAATAAATTGGAACATCAAAGATTGCAAGACTTGGTGTTTATTAAGTATAATCAAGCTTTGGTAGAGAGGTTTGAAATTCGGGATAAAATTGATCCTATGGAATTTAATGAAATTAATTTCCACACCGAATGGTTGGTGGGAGAGATGGAAAAGGTAGGAGATGATGGTGAAGACTTGGTTCATCCAAATGATGATTTAACTTGGAGTCAAGTAGCCGATGCTAGTGGGGCTAATGAGCCTATAATCTACACTTGGAGGACAACAAGGCAAAATGAAGTTGGAAGTACTTCTCAAGCAACAACGGCACCAAGAGCAACAATTGCACCAAGAGCAACAATGGCAACTAGAGCACCAATGGAACAACAAGTGATGGAAGATGTTGAAGAAGTTGAAGATGAAGAATTGGAGGAAGATTTTGAAGATGTTGAAGATGAAGATGAAGAAATGGAGGAATATATTGAATAAGAAGATGAAGAGGAAGAGGAATTTTTTGATGATTCTATATGATTTCTATGTTTGACATTTGAACCTTTATGTTTGAATCTTTATGTTTTGAGTCTTGATTAAGCATTGTTCTTTGTTTAACATTTGAACCTTTATGTTTTGAATCTTTATGTTTTGAGTCTTGATTAAGCATTGTTCTTTGTTTGACATTAGATTTTATAAGTATTTTATGAGTGTTGTGGAATTAATTTAGTATTGCATGACATATGTTTTATAACATATGTTTTATAGATTATTATATAATTATTAGTATACAAAAAGTTGTCCCGCTATCCGGAATCCCGCTATTCCCGCTTTTCCCATTCCCGGGGGTCGGCTGCTCCGCTTCGCTATCCGGGATTAACAACTCTGCTCAAAACATAAAGATTAAAAATATAAAGGTTCAAATGTCAAACAAAGAACAGTGCTTAATCAAGACTCAAAACATAAAGATTCAAACATAAAGGTTCAAATGTCAAACATAGAAATCATATAGCATCATCAAAAAATTCCTCTTCCTCTTCATCTTCTTCTTCTTCAATATATTCCTCCATTTCTTCATCTTCATCTTCAACTTCTTCAAAATCTTCCTCCAATTCTTCATCTTCAACTTCTTCAACATCTTCCATCACTTGTTGTTCCATTGTTGCTCTAGTTGCCATTGTTGCTCTTGGTGCAATTGTTGCTCTTGGTTCCGTTGTTGCTTGAGAAGTAATTCCAA